TGCTCCTTTCAAAATGCACTTCTAATAAGATTCACAAGACTTTGCACTTTAACGGATAAAATGAACTAAAACATGCACATGGTGAGTTCTGGAAGCTGCCACCAGCTGTTGATACCAGGCTACGTACTCTGACTATTTGTTCTTCAGCCATGTTAAAGTTCTTCACCTGTGACTGACGAGTATTTCTATTTCTGTAAATTACAGATGTTGCTTTCAAAGATCTCACATCTACGTTGTGTGGAGCAGTTGAAGGTAATCACTCAGAGGATCAAACACAATTTAGAGAAGACACGCGGGTTTTATCAGCACATCTGTGAGAACAGCAGCCAATAACACCTCCAGCTGGGCTTCATCCAGTGCTGCTGTGAGAACGACTGCCAGGGAACAGAAGCTCTGATGAGACGGAGGATGAGGACCGGGTCTGTCCCTGATCCAGAGCTCCTGCAGTCCTACGCTTCCTCCAGAAACACAACCCTGGTCACGACTGATGTTTTGGTTTACTACAGAGCTCAGGTTCAGCCAATCAGACGAACTGCTGCTGCTTCACATCCTCGGACGTCTGTTTTGGCCTCCTGACAGGTTTTAAGCAGCACTGAAGCAAAATCACCAGAGAAATGAGACTAATAAGAGCAATTTTATGTTTTAACCAGTTTTATTTTCATGACAGAAGCTTTGCTTTTAAAATGGTCAAATACTATAAATATATTATTATAAAAACAACTCAGCAATAAGCTCTGTTATAATGAGGACTTACATTCTCTACTGGGTCACATTTTGCTGTACTTTTTTTTTTTTTTTTTTTAAAGTGTAAGTTTTTAAAACACACACACAAACTGCTTCTGTTTTCTGTGTTGTACTGGAGTAAAGCCGATACGACCGTCACAACAACCTGTCGTACATCAGACCAAGACACACTGACAGCATGTTCGTATCGGGGTCGACGGTTATTACCAACCATCAGGTCCAATATTTACTGTATTCTACATTCTAGTTTTACTGCAAACATCTATGTCTATACATCGGTCTCCTTGGTTACCAATGATGGATAAAAAGACGTAGAAGTAATCTGCTCTTCATTGTTATCGAATCACAGGCAGCACATATGCAGTCATTTCACTTTTAAAATCAGTGACTTTAAGGCTGTTAAAACGAACCATGGCGTTCCTTTAAACGGGTTCTGGTCCGTCTCCTGTGTTCAGCCAACCAGCCCTGATCTCTGTGACTCACCGGCCCGACCGACGGTTTGGTTTAGCGCAGTATGACTGGAGCAGACTGGAGCTAACATTAGCCTTATAGCACATTTCTGAGCTGGAAGTGGCACGTGATTAGTCTCATAGCTGATTAGATTTACAGCTTCTGGCTGATAAATGGGTCAATGTGGGAACTTTTTAACGCCACCATGATGTTTAGCTCCATGTCATGGATTGATTGATTCATCATCTAAAAGTCTGGAACAACATCACACGGTCTTCTGCTCAAACATCCGCCCCTTCAGCACAGTCAGACTCATCATAACCCTGAACAGAAGGTCCATCATCAATCCAAGGTGACTCCACCGTCCTACACTGACACTAAACAACCTTTAAAGCGTCACTAGAAGCCCTCAGACAACGTCCCAGAAACGTGTTCTCACCTGAACCAGCCATGACTGAAGCCCAGACTAGATAACAGAGGAAGGTTTCCTGACAGCAGACGTCGTCCTGCTGTGAAACCGTCTGACAGGAAACCAGCATGAAGACTGGATTTAATGAGGCTAACGTAGGACAGCACAGGGCCACGTTTCCCTGAACGCAGTAAAATTAAAAAGAAGGATTATTCATTTAATGTTGTTCTACTCAGGATCTCCTTTTGTAAATAAACAGCTGCTGTGAAGGCTGCATGTGTTCTAAACCAGTGACTTATCTTTACTGGGTTTTCAGCATCACATCCCTTCTCCTCCAGAACACACAACCCAGAAAACACAAAACCATCTCAAACCATCTCTCTGAACATTTGAACTGAACCCTCTCAGACGGAGCTGCACAACCAATCAGCTGTTATTCAGTTTCTTATTCTTCCTACAAATACTGAACAGGATGGACCCGGTAGAACCACGAGCTACCTATTCAACAGTCAGCTCGTCTGATTGGTCAGCGTAGGTCATTATGAAGGAAGAACAAGTCTAGATTCTCTGCTGCAGCTCCTTCAGTCTGAAGGTTCTCTGGTTTCCTTCCTCTGTGACACTAAACTGAACATCTCTGGACTGACCCAGACGTCTGAGGAAACTCTGATCAACAAGTTCAACCAGAGATCGAACAACTAACTGAGAAAATGATGCCATGAGATTTAAATTAAACAAAAACTAACTTTTATTATTATTATGATTGTGTTATTATTTTGGCTGAGGATAGTAAAATGCCTTAAAGTCGTATTTTTAAAAGACGTGTTCTGTTTAACCACCAGGCAGAACCTCATCAGTCCGTCTGAAGCTGCAGCCAATAATCAGATAGATGTCGACTCATCATCAGGAAGCTAAACTGTTTTAAAAAGAAGAAACAACCGTCGTCATTCTGACTGCAGCTTCACCAGTCTGGATGTTTTCTGGTGTCTTTCCGCTGTGACAGTGACCTGAACACCTCTGGACCTGCTGGTTCGCTGCAGCCCAGTTCTACACACGGTGCTGATCGCTAACCATCCGATCTCTGCTTCAGCTGAGTTCACCGTCCACTCTGGCAGACATCTACTCAACAGAACACTAACAGAGGAATCAGGACGCTGAAGTAAAAAATCACCACAGAAGTAATTCTACTGAGTTTAGTAGAAGTTGGAGATGGATCAGATGAACACGGCTGAGCCCGGCGGACCTCGACTCGAGACACCACAACACAACAACAAGCATCCTGGAACTTCAGTCACTGGCACCAACACTGGCTTTTACCGTAATCTCTGGACTATAAGCCGCTACTTTTTCCACACGCTTTGACCACTGCGGCTTAAACAATGATGCTGCTAATTTATGGAGTTTTACGAGCTTTACGAATTTGCCTCGAGACCAA